TAATCTGTAACAAGGGAGCTGAAAGCGAGCAAAGTTTCAAATCGAATCCATTATATTTTAAGACAACTCTACAACCTCGCTAGGAGCTATACACATTAATGTAGGGGTATATTTCGACCAAGTTGCCGAATAGATGTGGTATATTGTCAAATGTAATGAACAAGAACATGAAAAATTTCCAAGATATAAGTTTCATAATTAGCTAGGAAAAATTATAATGATCTTAGAAGCTCAAAAATAACAATTGATAATATTAAAGTAAAACTTCGACCCTAAATAATACAAAGCAAGAGGCAGGAAAAAAAATAATTGGTGTAATTTAGTATAAACTAACTTTGAACTTTATATATTGTTAGAGATACCGTTTAAAATGCAAATGAGTGAGCTTAGAGATGAATTGGCGTTTAAGAATTAGAACTTAAGGATAATATTTTTCAGATATCACAGAAAACAGGTAGCAAAACAATAAAGGAAATTTATATTTCTATATGAGCTATGTGATCTATCTAAACATAATAATGTATTTAAGTCCGCAAAAATATTATAAATATATTAATTCTAGTAGTCTCATCAGGTTCAAATCAGGTAGACTCCAATCCTCCAATAAGAATCGCCTGAGATAGTCTAAACATACTGAGTTCAATCTGGGGACTAAGCCTAGTTAATAAAAATTATATAAAATCTATTTGTAGTTTAATACATGAACACCCCTAGCGTAATGTCAAAATGAACAGACAGTAAAACGTCACTAAAAAAACAAGTGCGTTCAACAACTGCGCCAATATTTTGCAAGATGAAAAATAAATAGTTCCTAAGCCAAAAAATACCAGTGAAAACTCAAGCTAAAACAATCGGTAGCTGCTTTCAGGTCTCAATAAACCCAGGTATTGTGTAGTTGGTGTGACGCTACAGAGATATTTAGCCTTGAATTATTAAAAATAAACTATAGTATTGCATTCGTATGCAAGTAGGGTTTCGAAACTACCAGTAAATCAGTGTAATGAGATGTATTGCAGCCAATATTCTTCGCCAGCATCTGGAATCTATCAAAAAAGCTTAAAATGAAAAAAACAGAGCTGGTTGAACCAAGGTCAGGGAACATTAGGAAAGATAGAATAGGCCGATTATCAAGGATATGGGTGCGGAAGTTTGAATCCATTCATCCTAATATGACTACAAATATTAAAATATCCGAAATAATTAGGTTTTTAATCGCACAGGTTATTGGAAATTGAAGGGAATAAATTGTATTTATTTAATCAAAGGTTAGTCAAGAGATTTTTCTGAGTAGAAAAACAAGAATGAAAGCTAAAAAAGTAAAATAAATGGTTTCCTTACGCCTGGAACTGAGTACAGTAATTACTAGTGTTAATAAAAGGTGGTGTCATTTGATATAGAAGAGCCTTGCGAAGGCTTTATAAAATGAGACTCTTTGATACGAGTCTAAGGATCCTGGACATGAAATGGATCAATATCGGGCCGCGATCATCAAAAAGGCATTTTTACTAAGCCAATATAATAATGTAGAGGGGGCAGGGAAAATGGCATCCGAAATGCTTACCCGGAGTTTTGGTTCAAGTTGATCGCCAAGGAAGGCCCGCATCTTTCCTGCCAGACTGAGATAGTCGAGAACAAGCCGAGGTACTTGAGGCAGGGCCGGATCACCTTGCTCACTCCTCATAAGTAGATGGTCCCATGGGCTAACTAACTTGGCAAGACGTGGAGCAGCAAACTCGATTAGATCATCATCTGTAGCTTCAGTAACCGCCTAAAGATAAGAACAAAGCCAAGGATATCAAAGCTGCAAGCCATAGGTTTTAGCTAACAATCATTAAAACTGATTTATGGAAGTGTTATATGAAAATATGCGCAAGTGACCAACTCATTATTAAATGCCTCATAAACAACAACACCTATAAGAATGAAGAACAACTAATGGTAATTCAAGCTGAACTCAAATTTTATGGAAGGTATGAAGACCAAAATGGTGTGGCCTTTTGTATGGTCACAGTCTCCTTTCGTTGTATAAAAGCTGTTAGACCTTGTTATAGCAACTTGGTCATATTGGTAGGAAGATCTAGAGAAACGCACCTATTCCGGAGCCCATAGCATGCACGATAATTTAAAATCGGACCGTAGACGTAGTACATTCTCAGACATTTAGCCGGCATCGTCAGTGAGCATTGTCAGTCTAAACACTACACTACAACTCGTCAAAGAGACAAGTGGAGCCGATCCTCCGATCAATTGTCTGCTAAACAATCGTGGTATATCTCCTTCCTCTCTGGG